CTCAGGAGGATCTTTGCTACATACGGGATTAAGACCTGTTTCAGACCAACCAGAACCCTCCGGAACATACTGGTTTCACCAAAGGACAAAACACCGAAGGAAAGTAAATGTGGGGTGGTATACCACATACAGTGTCAAGGACAGAATTCCAAGGGCCCATGTAAGGAAACCTATATCGGAGAGACTGAAAGATCGCTCAAGGCTAGGTTCCTAGAACACAAACGACCTAGCTCAACTACCTCTGAGGTTTCACAACATATACATATAGAATCCCCTGGACATTCAGTCTCACTGGACAAAGTAAAAATCTTGGACACAGAACCAGACTTTTTTGCACGAGGGATTAAAGAGGCCATCTACATCAGGGCTTTACAGCCATCCCTCAACAGAGACGGGGGGGCGCCACAGACTTTCTGCAACCTATGATCCACTGCTCACGGAGTCACGTGTGTTATCTGCGTGACGTCACGGAAGCGGTGGATTGCTCATTCCTTGAAAAAGACTGGAGTTGTACAGTCGAAAATTTGGGTGAGTCCAATTTTTGTTGTGTTGGAAATTACAGTTTAAACTTACTTCATAATGAATTCTACCAACACAGATGAACTTTCAAGATAAGATTGTTAGACTATTAGCCATGTAATTACCTCCATGAAATGTGTCATGGAGGTTATATTTTCAGTTGCGTTTATCTGTCCATCTGTCCGTCTGTCTGTCTGTCTGTTGGTCAACGAGATAACTCAAGAACGCCTGGATGGATTGGTTTCATACTTGGTGTGTTGGTAGGGTGTGACAAAAACTAGAAATGATTAGATTTTGGTCCCCCTAGTGGCTTCCCTTGGTACTGCAGCGCAACGTCCGGTTTTGATATCTCGCGATCTGGACATGCTAGGGTCATGAAATTTTGATGGAAGGTAACTCTCGTGCTTGGAAAGAAGTCATATGAGTTTGGGCCCCCTAGCGGCAGGGCACTTTCTGGCGAAATGTTTAAAAGCCAATAAGTCCAGACAGGAACAACATATTTTCATTATTTTTGGTGTGTAGGTAGCTTAGAGAGATGTACATAATTAAAATGCAAATTATGCAAATGAGGACTTTATTTGCATAATTAATGAGGAAATTCTATGATTACAGTGTTTTACATTATACTACTTACATACATGTAATGTATGTAACCTATGGCAGGCGGAACTTCAACAGATACTAATTATGCAAATGATGACCTAATTTGCATAATTAATGCGAAAATTCTATGATTTCGTAATGGTGAATGATGAGAATGTCATACTTGGGACATCTGTAGGTTAATCAAAAGTTAACATACATCACGATGCATATATCATGTTAATGCAGAGGTCATTTGCACAATTAAAGAAGAAATTTACATTTACATATCAAGATCATATTTCATGGAGTTATGAGATCTCGGAATTCTAGTTTTAGCCATATAGTCTCCTTTTTTGTGACTTGCCTACCGCCGTAAGTAACGACATTTATCAGGCACATGCAAAGAAGCATTTGGTTTCTGGATACAAAATTAACAGATTGTTTTTACCTTTCTTTGGCTGAAACTGTGCTTGAACCGACTTGCTCATCACAGTTGTATCCTTCTCTTGAACCTCACTTGTCTCTACCACATCTACAATGGACATATGACAAAAACGGAAAATGTTTAAGGTTTAAGATAAAAGACAACTCAACATTTTTTTTATTTCACGAAGGGATTCAACTGTTTTCCCCTCAGTTCTTAAACTTATCACATACAGACCTGCATTAATGTAGAATTAACACAATTTATCATCTGTAACATTTACAGCAAATTGTAGTGAAACTAGTCAAGTAGATTCAACATTCTCAAAGAAAAAGGAAACTGTTTATAAAATTAAAGGCCAAACAAAGTTTACGTTTCTTGTCAACTCATCTTGCTATGATGAGGTAACAATACAATGTCTTTTGACTTTTTAATACAAATCACAAGGTCAGGGAAACAAAAAGAATATTGATCTACCTTTGTCATGGTAGAAAAACACTGTTGCGGGTGAGATTTGGCGCCTGACATCATCTATTTGTTTTCCGGAGCCAAGAAGTCGTCGTGTGAAATTGACGGTTCCTTCGTAGTTCTTCTTGCCTGGGCGCGTAGCATTCAGAATCAGTCCAACAGACCACCTGTTGCAGTCAGCTGGTGGGAAATAGAATGTGTGGCCATGCTCCAAAACTTTAGAAAGGTCTGCAATGACGTCTTTACTGTTGTCAAACTCGGCATCTATCTTTTCTTCCTCGCCCATGACGATGCGCTGTTGGAACGGTGGAGGCCACCGCATATTGTCAGCTCGGAAAAAGTCCTTGGCGTCGTCGTCCTTGTGAACACACAAGAGGTGGATGTAGTTCTTGTCTGTTGTTGCCTGGTTTGGGTTTACTATGAGATACACTTTGTCTCCAGTGCATCTGTTACAACATGCCTGGAATTGTTCAGTGACGACTGTAGTTTTAGATGCTGATGAGACCTTTAACTCTCCTGACATACTTTGACCTGATGCCGTCTGATTGGCTACGTCACTCTCGTTTGCTGGTTCTTTTGAAAAAGTTTCCTTTACTGCTTTCTGATTTGCTGCCTCATTCTGGTTTCTTGGTTCTCTTGATATACTGTCATTTTCTGCCTCCTGAGTGGTTGCCTCATTCTTGTTTCCCGGTTCTCTTGAGATAGTTTTATCTGCTGTCTTCTGATTGGCTGTCTCACCCTCGTGCGCTTGGTCTCTTGAGAAGCTTTCCTCTGCTGCCTCCTGATTGGCTGACTCATCCTGGTTTCCCGGGGTCGAGGTAGAACTTTCTCCACCATTGCCACTTTCCTTGGCTCCGGCCATCCTAGAAAATCAAGTATAACAAAAAAAATACATATGATCAAACAATATTTTAGTACATGCCGTACGTAGTTTCTTGAAATGTGGAGAAAGACTAGTAATCAAGACGATGCCATTACCCGCAGAAGTGTCTCGTTGTGAATGTGAGTTCATCCTCTGTCTCTTGAAACTCTGCTTGTAGCAAAGTCCACCGGGGAGGCTGTGATTTTCTCTCCATCAGGACGGTTTGGTCTGCGCTGCAGTCGATTTTCTTCCATGCCCACGGCAGGGTGACGCTAACGGGCTCTAAGAAGTCTTCCTCCTTTTCCTGGTGCACAGTCAGTACCGGTGTCACAGCTGAGAAAGTCTCTGTTAAGGCGTCGTCAATGGGGAGCATCTCAACCTGTAAGATTACAATAAGAAAATAAAGTGGTTACAAAAAGAGGGTTTCTTTGGAGATTGCGGATTAATGTTTCATTACCTCCCAACACCCGGCTATATGGAGTGTGTTAGTGATTAACTACAACAAATGCTATAAAAATCTCTGTACAGCATTAAGCTGTACATAGGCTAACAAGGACGGTATGCGACATAAACGAACTGAAGAGCCATGCACGTCGGCGTAAATTTACCTCCAAGGACAGCAATCTTTCCGTCTCGACGCATCCTTCCGGGAAGGAGATAGTGACGCCATCCTCCTCAAGTGTACAGCCTTCTGTTGTGATTCTGTACGTGTTCAGCACAACAGAAGTCGACGCCTGTAGAAATAAACCGCGAAGACTTACAACATGCCCAAAAAGCCGATTCGCGTCTCTTGGTCAACAAGAACAGTAGCACGGCAGATTACAAAGCACCGCAATGGACATTGTATTGTATCAACGCACCTTATTCAGGATTTCTGCAGCCGTGAGACTGATTTTGGTTCTAGACAGTGGTTCTTCGGTCATTGGTACTTCTGTTGATGGCATATCCAGCATCCCCGCGCAGCGCCTACCGAGCACCTCTAGCAAACGCTCCCTTGTCCCTTCAGGGTAGGCTAAGACTGGACATACCAGGTTCTTGTTCTGTACACAGAATTCGTACCCAAGTGAGGACCAGTATCTGCTGTGGAGAGCCTGTGGTGTAATGATTGGCACGACCATCCTGACGTTCCTTTGGAGAAGATGATCCAATGATTTCACTGTGATGATATTACCTGGTTTGATGACATCTTCAGACACAGTTACACCGTACCTGTTGGAGGACTTGACTACTTGTCCCAGGAGTGGCTGGATGAGCTTGTCATTGTAGTCCCCAACGTGTAGAATAACAATTTCGTTGCCTAGAAATAAAATTTAAAAAAAAAAAACATTGCTTTAACCCTATCTAGACCGGGGGGGGGGCTAAAAGTGCCCGCGCCAACTTTGATGTCACATAGCATCCGAACGGCTAGAGCTAGAACCACCAAACTTGGTGACTTTTCCTAAAATATTGTTGGCAACAAATCCGTATCATTGGAATAAGATTATGATTTTTGGTGTTGCCATGGCCACGGGTTTCTGACAGGCATTTTTGCTAAATTTAATAATTTTCATTTCAACAACAGAATTTTAAGGGTTTTATGTCAAGTTACACATGGTGTCTAATATTAATAACATCTCCGATAACAATATGTAAATTTTATCATTAAAATGCATAATTTATGCTAATTTGATGACGTCATTGACCAAAATCCAAGATGGCGGACCATATCATTAGATCAGGTATATACGGGTTATTTTCCTTAAAATTTCATCAATAATCCCTTTTCTTTTTACAAATAAGGTTCATATGAACGTCTTTAGTCTGTTTACAAAGTATTCTAGGCTTTATCCTGAAAAAAAACAATTTTTCAAATTTCAAGATTGATGATCCAAGATGGCGGATCGCTAATGAATGCATGACGTCATTTTATGACGTCACAGGTGTTGCTATGGGCAACATAAGACTAAGTACACCCTAATAATCTGTCATAAACACTTTTGGTAAAGTTATGTCGTATACCGTTTAGTTTTCAGGGAAGAACCTATCTAGGCGGTTTTGGACAATAAAATCACATTTATGACGTCATAATGACGTCATATTACGTCACAACGACGTAAAAATTGTAGATATGATACATTTTTACTAGTACACCATCCTCTAAAATTTGGTGGTCATACGACATACCGTTCGCGAGTTCTGAGGGGGGGACCGAAAGAGCCCCCCCCCCCGGTCCCACCAAGCCCAAAAAAGCCCGGTCTAGATAGGGTTAATGTATGAAAATGGTCAAAAAAGGACAGAGCGTGATGAAGGGGGGGAGGGGGGATCAGAGGCTTTAAACTTAACTCAATTTAAAGAAGACGACGAAGTAAGTCACCTCTCTTCTGTCGGAGGAACATAGGTGCTTTCTCTGGCAAGCAAACCTCCACAGATGCACCCAGCAAGCGATGGCACATGTCCCCAGCACTCTTGACGGTATCAACCAGCTTTTTGAACCTGCTAATGAATGTTAGCTCGCGCCTGATCCGATCACACTCTGTCAGGCTCAGCCCTTCGCACGTCTCCATACAGTCCAGGACAGGGCCAATCCGAGCAATCGTTCGGACTGTGTCTTCTGTCTGTGTGGGCTCGATCATCATGGGTCCGGAACCACCCAAGTTTTCTGCATGTAACGTTACAACATATGTTTATGAGTAATGATTTAAACATTATTACAGGGAGATAAACCAGACAAATACGTTGTAAATCAACCACACTCAAATGTTTAGTTATTGTAGTATTTTATTGTAATACTTGGTAATATAAATGCTATTCGTCAAATTGATTTGTGCATTATTTCATGTACTATATATGTAAGTGAAACGCCTGATGGCTGAAATGCGATGTTTTACATAACAAACCATTCATTCATTCATTCTTTCAGAAGACAATGACTTTACCTGGAAAGGACGTTCTGTTATCACCGCTGCCACCCATCCACACATCGACAAAGTTTTCTGGAAAACTGTGATTAAAACCATCAGTTATTGACGCATGAATTACGCATGATGGTTAAATGAAAGAAAACTACAATGAAAGAGTTATGCGATTACCAAATGAAACAGGTTTCAATTGATTAACTAAAAAAATGAGAATGTAGATGGCCTTACCGACTGGATCCTGTTGCCGTCTCTTGTTTTGTGTCAGACAGCGTGTGGAATAGTGGTGTGCCGATTTCTTCATCTGACGCCTCCCCAAAGCACCAGTCGTACTGGATGGACGGAATCCATTTCTCTTTGATCTCGAAGAGACAACTGCTGAGGAATTTTCTAACGGGAAGGCCCTGTGTGAACACTGGTTGGTCTTTATCTTCAGCCGACAGTAGCTCCACCTTCAGATAGTGCTTCACTTTGGTTACCACGAACTGTTGCTGTACATCATCGGTAGGAAAGCGGCCGCAGCCGGAGAACACGTGGGACTCTTCAAGGCCGAACCTGCGCACACAGATCGCTTGCAGACGGTAGAACATGCCGCTTGGGAGGAACATGTTTTCAAATTTGACATACAGAGGATGCCGGTGTCTCCTCATGTGCCCAGGATACAATGTGTTGTCGTCAGGCTTCGCGGCCAGGAGAGATGGTACGAAGTAGATTTCTTCTTTCTCAGGTTCTTCCGCTGTGTCAGCAAACTCACCGATTGGCGTGGCGTTGCAGAGAAGGTAGTACTTTTCCATAAGTCGTTTCAGGAAGAGCTTGTGCCGGAGTAGGAAGGGCTTCTGCATCTTCTGATCTGCATTGGTCCAGATGATTGTCAAAAACCTGTCACTGAGGATGCCTTCCGTCTCCAGCCTCCTCCACATCTCGGCAACCTCCCCATCCGTGCTCCTGTCCTGTTGGTACTCCGGGACGGTGATGATTGTCTTGAAGACGTCAATCATCACCTGGGGTCGGAGAACCACGTGATCACCAAGGACGGGTTCGTTGATGAAGATGATGTCACCAAGGGCGTGTAGGAAGGTCAGAATGTCAGCAACATCGCTGACGTCCGCGATGCCTACATCATCACTTCGGGCCAGATCCACGACATCTTGGAAACGGCAAAATGGGTCTCCACTTGTCCTCTTGTCTATCAGTTTGGACTTCAGATGAAGCCAAGTCATCGGTACCTTCTCGCCCATGAACCACAGACCCTTCGCCTCCTTGCGGATGTATTCTCGGAGCTCGTCAAAGTCACCGTCGTTCTCGCTGAAGTTGTCAATGACAAATATCTCTGGTAAGACGTGTTTACCGGCAGCCTTACCACCGATGTGGTCAAGTATGTCTTTCTTATACCTCTCAATTTCCAACTGAAACCAAGAGCATAAATCCATTTGTAAGAATCTAAAGCAATACATATTGAATGGTTTGACAAACCGACCCAATGCCTATCTAATCAGCAATGAATATGAACTACGCGCGCGCCAGGGAAACTCTGATTCATAGGCTTTCGAGAAAATATCTAAAGATTCCCCATACCTCGCTGACTTTGTCCTTGTGTGTGAGGACCAAGACAATAGGTGGCTTTCCTGTCTCCTCCTGTCCAGGCTGCAGGGTGTGTGTGCGGACAGAGTTCAGCCAGTGGTCCAAGTAGTCTAAATAAGAAGAGGGGTCTTATTGTTTTCTTGCATGAAATTACTTTATATTATCATTTAAACTTTGCAACAATTTCTTCATGTAATTTACGTTCTATTTCAGTTCCCATGATGTTAAAAGTTGACCATCATCACATAGATGAGGTAAACCGACTCCATTATTAGCAATACAAAAAAACAAACGATGTAAATAAAACTGCAGTGATATGTACCTCTTCCAGTTTCGAGGTTGTCCGCTGACGCCTTGTAGTCCAGATCAGGAACTCGATCGGACAGCTTCTGCAGCAGTGACATGACCAGGATGTAGATCCCGCGGTACGTGAAGAAGCACTGGTGCGAGCCGTAGTACGTGGCCTGGCCGCCGAAGTCCCAAAAGGAGATACGCGGGTGTTCAGCTGTTCCAAGCTGCTCTTCTGTCACGCCACCTTGGATTCGCTGTTGAGTTTTTATTACAACATCATTCGGAATGTAATATGTTTGTTTTCGGACCGTCGTGGCACCTTGACGTCGCATTGCAGCATTCGTTATGCCATCATTTGCAACACCTTTTGCTTGATGCTGAACCGTAACGTCACCCATGATTTGCTCTTGAGGCTGCTTTTGTGGTGATGTAGGTCTGTTCATATCTTCTCCTCTGTCTGCAACAGAAACGTGTTTCATTCGATCTTACTTGACATCTAAAAAGAGTACTAAAAGCCAGCCTCAGCTGAACATTAATACATTGTATATAAATAATTTACATAAATAAACAAAATAATCTCTGTCTCTCTTTGTCTGTCTGTCTCTGTCTGTCTCTTCCTCTCTCTCTATATATATATATGTATATATACATAGAGAGAGATGGATAGATATATATGCTGCTAGTGCACTTCAGTAGGAATCAAAGACATAATATCACATATTAGAATAGCCTTAAACGTATTTACTTGTTTATGTCTATAGTGTGTATTTCTGACTTGTTGGGAAAAGTAAAAAGATAATGAGCCATTCTTACTTTCATCTACAGGATCAAATGACTGTGATCTTTGTGTCGGTGCCTCTGATTTTGGCGGTTCCTTTTGCTGAGTTTGGAGATTGTGCTCCCTTTGTTGGTCCTCTGTCTCTCCAGAATCTTGTATAAACAAAATAAAATCTGTAAGATCGATGCCATTGGTACTTCCCAGAGAATATGTAATAATATTTCTACAATACGGACCATGTACCGAATCTTATAGGCATACGTCAATTTTGATTTTAAATTTCATGGTTTTATGATTCTTACCGTCTCTCCTAACATTCATGTTTTGTATAAATATATGAAAAGCCATTATTACTTTCATCTACAGGATCAAATTTCCATCTACCTTGCTTTGGTGTCTCTGTTTTCAGCGGTTCCTCTTGCTGAGTTTGGAGATTGTGCTCCCTTTTTTGGTCCTCTGTCTCTCCAGAATCTTGTATAAAGAAAAAAAAACCAAGAGTTCCACGATTTCATACCTTCGCCAAATGATGTTAACCGTTCTAAGAAATTATAGATTATTCCCCCTGATTATGCCAATAGGATTATCAAAATTTCATGACTTATATCTGTTAATCATATTCTCCACCAAAAGACAGTCTTATCTTAACAAAGTATGACATTATAGTATTTATTACTGGAGTAACTTTACCAAGTGTACCTCACCGGATTAGTATAATCCGGAGGCATGATGATGATGATGATGATTATAAATTATTAATCATAGAATTTATCTTAAACGATAAATTATGTAAATGACGTCCTCGTTTGAATAAGCTACGTTTATGATGTTCACCTTCAGTTTACTATGAAGTGCCTTAACTTTCAAATACCCCAAATATGAAATTCCAGGTTGTTACCACTATGGGATAATAACATTTCTCAATAATTATGCAAATAAGGTCTTTATTTGCACAATCAATATCTGCCTGTGGTTCGTTTTCACTTACATACATGTATGTCGCAAGATTAAAACTAGTAGTCCTATTATGTACTGCAGCTGAATTTCCTCATCAATTATGCAAATTACCTCCATATTTGCATAATTATACTATCATAGAGAGAGAGAGAGAGAGAGACCCTGAAAACATAACCTTCTTGGCGAAGGAAATTAGTAAGATGCCATTGGTACTTCCCGGAGAATATGTAAGGATATTTCTACAATAAGAACCATACCGCATTCCATATGCATCGTCCGGGGGCTGGATTCGGCCCGTTCTTGCTGTTCCGCTAAGCGTTCTGCCATGGTTTCCTTGAACTCATCTGGCTCCTCTGTACGTGAATATAGCGTATGCATCCTTGTTACAGCTGAGGTCAATATTACAATTTTACAATATACTAGCTCGAGTTAACTGTAGACATAACTGTTTTCAAGAACATGTCATATTACATGACATGTAGTAACTACTATTAGAGGGTTTTGGATTTAGTGACTTAAGCAAATTTTCATTTCGCAACATGAATAGCCAGCCTTTTTCAGCTATTTTTTTTATTATTGCCTCTGGTGCATTATTATGAAACTTTTGGATCAGCATTCCCTGAAAATTTGGTGAAAATGCGGTAAGGCCATGTTGATTTAATTATATGGATGATATCCGCGCTAGCAAGAATTTTCGTCCGTTTCCAAAAAAATCGTAAAAGATAGTTGTAAATCGTAGAAGATAGTTGCAAAAAAATAATATATACTGTAAGCTGCAAAAAAATATCGCAAAACGATACAAAAAGTCAATTTTTAGAATGCCAATATCAGACATAAAAGAAATGAATTGGAAGAGTATATTATTCGTCATACCATGCTCTGTGTCATTTCTTCAACTTTCATGACTTACGTAGACTTCATGTTGAAAGCAACTTTTTTATATTCGCACGTTCGCATCAGTTTTGGGGTTCCCAGAGGATGTCATCCATTTAATCAAATCAACATGGCCTAAATAGAAACTGTTTTTTTCGGACCTCTTGCCGTTCTCCATGTCTTAGTCATCACGCTCGGTGAAATTTCGATGCCGTCTGTTACTGGTTGTTGCTCCACAGCCTTCTCTCCCGTCAGCCTCCTGACGACACACGTTTTCCCGGATCTGAACTGACCAACCACGAGCCCGCGCACGCTGTGCACCGGTTGTTCCCCCTGACGACAGGCCTGGGAGTACAGATGTTGCATTCTAGGACCACGCAGCTGTATTTCAAGCGGAATACTGCTCTCTCCTGGATATGAAAAGAGTTACCATTTTATCCTTTATTTTTTCGCTTCTTCTACATACACGTGCAGGTAAGTAGTCGTAGCATGTGGTATTTGTTCATAGAATGACTGAATATTTCATTTGATTAAGGCCTCTCAACGAAATGGGTTTCATGTGATTTTTTGCTATGTTTGCATGGCGTAGATTTACTATGTCTTGTTATACCAGGTGTTTTCAGTGGCTATGCTATCTGTGAGCAGAATACAAATACTATATCTTGGAGGCATCTGTATGCCAAATTTCAATTCAGTTGCCTTTAGTACAAGGCTGTATTTTTCATTTTAGTCTGAAATTGCAAAAATTCCCCAAAATACATAAATTTGAAGTTCTGTATTCATAATGTCTAAATTCCGTGGGGTAGTATCCAAGATACATGTATATTTTCAAGTCATTTGGTTTTTTAAATTGCGGAGAGGGGGGGGGTCCTTTGAGGCCGGTGTCAAATTTCATCTCGGATAACATCTAAACGGTTTGAGCTAGATTTATCAAACTTGGTTACTTTTCCATGGCGAAAATCGATCATCATGACCAACTACTAAAGTTGTCTGTTAACTTAGGCGGTAGTAGTTGGCCATGGTGAGTCTGATAAATTCCCAGGGCCGTGGAACTCAAACATCGAAGTCAACAAATTCCACAACCAGGATAGGCTTATATAGTGTAAAGATTGTGGTTGAGTTTATCATCCTATCTAGTTTATGATTTTGTGGGTGTTGAGTTTATAAATATTATTGATAAAAACGACAGATGTGTAATTCCATAATACACGTTCTTGGTGCTGATTTTTAAATATATTTGATATGAGATTTCCAGAATTACCTTTTAAGCCATTGCCACTTTTCTATTGCAGTAGAAGTACGAAACTATGTACGTTAACTTACTTTGTTGGGTTTTAACATGAAGCATAATGTCCGTGACCTTTTCTGGGACTTTCCTCTGAGGATGGACGACATACTCTCCGTTAGCAGCTTCTTTCTCCACCTCTTTCCTGCTGTAAGCATGAGGCTGTGGATTGTGTTCCCGGAGGTCCAGGGCGCTCAGCACCATTTCTTGTGTCCTGAGTTCTGGGCTAATCTCGTGTAGCAGGTAGTACGTCATGTCCGTCAGGAGGTCCATGATGGAGTTCCAGTCCTCCCTGTTACCACCGGCGCTCCTGACCAAGATGTTGAGCCGCCTCTTGTCTTGCGAGATCTGCAACAGTGCATCGGCCTTCACGTAGATACATTTGGCGCTGTTCTTCCACAGCAGAGGTTTGGTGAGCGTGTGTGGGTTCGCATGCATCAGCAGCGTCTGCAGCCGGGGGAACAGATCGCACGAGAAGCTGTCGATCTCCCTACGACATCGGATCTGCAGACCGAAGTAGACAGCCTTGCTAGAGACGGGAGACCACTCTCCCTCATCCATCTTCTGCTGCTGGCTGGGCAAGATGAAAGTGTGACCGTCGAACGTGTAGCAGAGCTGGAAGACCTGGAGGAGTTTGATCAGCAGGGAGATGTCGGCAACGTGACCGAAGGCACGGGTGATCTTGTCAAGGGTGACGCAGTCCCGGGCAGCTGGGTTGAGCGAAACGATAGGGAACATCGTAGGGGCCAGCAGGATTCCAAAAACCCACGTGAACAACCATTGGGGGTCCAGCACCACCAACGAGGCAGTTTTATCAAGAGGGTAGATGATCTAAGAGAAATATTGGAGTACTTAAAAGACGTTAATTCATTATTCTTTTCAAAGTTCATTTTAAAACTACTATTGTGTCTACCTAATTGTAGAACATTGCCTAATGACCCCGTCCTCAAAAGATCAAGGTAGGCGGTGTTTTTTCCTTGTTGTTTTTCAGCATTTCAAGGATAATGTAAATAAATTAGTAAGAGTAAGTTATAAAATTTCTGTTGATCTTTTTATTCAAGGTTTAATTTAACAATACTTCAAACTACATGTACCTCAGGGGACGTTATGCATGTATATCAAATAATCCGGCACTAAACATAGAATGAAATAATATTCTCACCTCCCCCTCATCATGAAGGTACGTTGACGCCAGTTGTACAATTCTTTCCTCCAGATATATGTGCGTAGCCTGCCTTACAGCTGTCAGGTAGTCCTGCCACTCCATTACTGGGAACGTTTTCCTCTCCTTTCTCCAGCCTTCAATTATCTCCGATAACTTGACGTAGACCTTAGGAACCTTTGGCCTTTGCTGTGACCAGTTTAAAAGCACTTCTATTAGTATTTAGGAGTTTTCTTTTAGTCAAACAAAATTCCTGACCTATGCTGACGTTTTGGTGTCTGTCAGACGCCTTCCTCAGCTTCTGTCCGGAGTTCTGCTTCTCGCCGCTATATGTAGCTCTGAGGAAGATGTCTGACATACACCGAAACGTCAGCACTTATGTGAGAAATTTTGGTTGTGTAAAAGTAAACTCCTTTATCCTATAACTTACCATCCTGTTGAAACTATTTTCGGCGGTACTTCTATTAATGTATAGGGGAGGGATTTCTATATCGGGAAAGTCCACGCACCAATAGCTATCCAGGGACTGTGCGCTATAATGGAACAATTTTCAAAGAATAAAAAACTAGTATAGTCCAAATTCTTTCTAAACCTGCTGTAATATGTATGCTTGAATATTTGCCAGGGCCCCACAAGCTCTCGGGTAATGTTCTATCATACGAGAGAGATATATAATTATAGTCTCCGTATTGAATAATCTCAAGAAAGTTTGCAACATAATTTTTTTTCACGCCACATGTATGGATGATTTATATTTTTCTCAGTTGAATTCTTCTATTGCCATTTCATGGTACTTTCGACTTATCCTAGGCATGTTGAAGGTTGTAGGTTAACCCTACCTAGACCGGGGGGGGGGGGGGGCTAAAAGTGCCCGCGGCAACTTCGATGTCACCTAGCGTCTGAACGACTAGCCGTAGAACGGCCAAACTTAGTGACTTTTCCTAGAATATTGTTGGCAACAATTCTCTATCATTGGAATAAGATATTAATTTTTGTGTTGCCATGGCAACGGGTTTCTGACAGGCATTTTTTGCTAAATTTAGTACTTTTTGTTTCAACAATAGAATTTTATGGGTTTTATGTCAAGTTACTCATGGTTTCTAATATTAATAACATCCCATATAATTTTATGTAAATTTTATCATTAAATATGCATAATTTATGCTAATTTGATGACGTCATTGGCCAAAATCCAAGATGGCGGACCATATCATTAGAACAGGTATATACGGGTTATTTTCATTAAAATTTCATCAATACTTCCATTTCTTTTTACAAAAAAGGTTTGAATGAAGGTGTTTAGTATGTTTACAATGTATTTTAGGCTTTATCATTAAAAAAAAAACTATTTTTGAAAATTCAAGATTGATGATCCAAGATGGCGGATATCTTAAATATGCATGACGTCATTTTATGACGTCACCGGTGTTGCTATGGGCAACATAAGACTTAGTACACACTAATATTCTGTCATAAACACTTTTGGTAAAGTTATGTTGTATACCAGGGAGGTTTTCAGGGAAAAAACTATTTAGACGGTTTTGGCCAATAAAATCACATTAATGACGTCATAATGACGTCATATTACGTCACAACGACATGAAAATTGTAGATATGATAAATTTTCACTAGTACACCATTCTCTGAAAATTTGGTGGTCATACGACATACCGTTCGCGAGTTCTTAGGGGGGGGGTGAAAGAGCCCCCCCCCGTCCCCCCATGTCAAAAAAAGCCCGGTCTAGGTAGGGTTAAGGCTTTCAGGGTCTTATTTCATGTTCGGTTGTCCGGTTGTACGCATCTGCATCGCCTGCGCAAAGAACTGCGTCGTCTGCACGGAAAAAAGGTGCGTCGTCTACGCAAAGACCTGCGTCGTCTGCTCAAAGACCTGCGAGAAAACTTCATTAGACCGATAAAACTTCATTAGTCTGCGCTCCGTTTAAACTGCAAACGTGCTAAATCGCGAATATGTCTTATTTTGCATCGTCGATAGAACTCAACCAGGGTCACAAAACCCTCTCTTTTTGAATAGAATAAGATGCATTTTTGATAGATTATTAACTTTTTGTATGTTTTATTTTAAACACACATGTTCTTAGAATACAAGTAACACTGCACGAGGAAGGATACTGAATGCCGACATGTTCTTCAAGAGTTTTTATCATTCTAATTATTTTTATCATTACGTTACTCACGGTATTCATAGTCTAGGGGACGGATCGCACGAACATGTTAACCTCGTGTGTGGAGAAGAATCTCACGCTGTGCATTTCTTCATGTTCGGTACCCCATGTATACCTGGCATGTAGATATCCTAAATCGGCATAGACTTTGAGAAAGTATTACTTTATAATCTGCATTGCTGAGTGTATGTAAAATGTTTCAGTTTTCCCCATGAAACACCGACCCTATCATATGGCTTGAACTAGAATTAGCCATTACACGCCTGCAATTAACAAGTTTCCACATATAGTTGCAAATGTGTGTCTTCTTGTTTCATGCATAGTTTTACAACAATTTAAATCATCTCCCTTGGGTTGCTTTGAATTTCTGTTGTGGCAAACATAATCCTATAATCACCTGGCCCATTCTACCAAATTGTCCTTTTCCCTTTTAGGCCACAGTAACTAAATTTAATGGATGAAATTCTCCGCAGTCTTAACCTGGGTGCCCTCCGATTTGTAACGGCTACCCCAAAAAAAATCGTAGACTCCAAATTTAATGCGATAGGGCGAAAAAAAAAACAAGGCAGGCCAAAAAAAACAAGCTTTTTTTTTTAAATTTCGACATCATAAACCTTGTTAGACAAGAAATATATACCTAGTATATTGTGCTGGTAGTCGATTATGGTCAACTGACAGAGAAGCAGATCGCCAACCTTGCTCGCGACAAGGGGCAGTGGAGGGATCTTGCAGTCGCCTGCACCGTAGCCGACCGATGATGATGATTGTTTGTTTGTTTGAGCCTTTATTTCAACTCGATCTGTAACTATGTTACATGCTCTAATCGGCCGCTATTTCGGCCGCTTTTTATAGAGGTCGAGCGTGGAGGAGTGTCAGAGGGTCATAATATAAATACTACTTGCTCACAAATGAAAACAAAGTAATAATTTTTATACATACATGTAAGGTAACTCACACAAAGTAAATAAATAAGCAAAATGGCAATAACTAATAAATAACTCATAAGTCGTTGTGTCCGAAGTCGTTCAGTCAAAGTCAGTTACGATGCAAGCAGTCTTTTAAAGGTTATAAGAGTAGGTGCTGCTCTAACATGCTGCGGAAGAGCGTTGCATACAAGAGAGCCAGAGTAGGCTAGGGATCTCTGGTATATTTCTCTTAATAGCATCGGTACCGCAAGGAGATCAGTCGCGCTTTGTCTGGTGCTTCTGGTCGCTCTATCCCTACAGTACGTGAAAATCCGGCGCACGTACGGCGGTAGTTAGTTGTTCAGGGCCTTATGTAGTAGGAGGGTTTTGTGATGTTTGTGGATTGACTTTACGTCCATCCAGCCCAGACGTCGGTGGACTTCGGCTGATGGAGTTAGATATGGGGCTCGTAGAATCAGCTTGCCAGCTCGGTTCTGCATCCTTTGCAATGATGGTATTGTGCTAAGTATATTACAACATCCATTTGTCACTGTAAACTAAAGTTTTCAATCGATATCATTGTACAATTGTTTCTATTCAGGGAGAACATCACATATAGACCTAAATACATCACTGCATCGAAGTAAAAGACAGTACAATCAATTAGAGCCTTGTGTTGTCACCTTTCATATTTATCTGCCAACCACGTTCGGTCATGTTGACCACTGTCAGATGGCAACACATTTCTTTTTCCCTCCTAATCAGGCGGAAATTAATGCACGCGCTAATGTCATCCACAAAAATTACTTGCTGTGGCCTCATCTAGTTTAACATTTCTAGGACATTTTATTATATAAAAGGACTTTTGTTCATAAATAGATACTAGTACATAGTTCCTAAGACTAGGTCTTGTTTGACGCATAAATTTGAATTAGGACGGGTTGGATACAACTAACAATTATTCAAAATAGCAGAAAAGGGCATGCAGGCCTCACCATTCCCACCCTACCAGTGTTACGTTCTTTCCCCCTTCATCTAGTTTAACATTTCTAGTACATTTTTGTACATGTATAAGTTGAATTTTCTTTATATATATAAAAACAAAATTGAAGTTATAAATACACATTTAACTAGGTCTTTGAGTTGTTAATATCAGTAATTACCATCCACATTCACTGCCCATAAACAGCCCACTTACAGCTGTAAAGACAAATAACTTTGTTGGAGACAAACCCATCCTTATGGAGCCCAGCCCAGCCTTTCCGGATACCCCCCAGCCTAGTCTGGCTAGCCGCCCTTTTTGATGAGCAGATGACGCAGGTTTTTTTCTATGCAGACGACACAGGTCTTTGCGCAGATGACGCAGGTTTTTTTCTATGCAGACGACACAGGTCTTTGCGCAGATGACGCAGCTTTTTCTGTGTAGACGACACAGGTGTTTGCGCAAATGACGCTGCTTTTTTCTGTGCAGAAGACACAGGTGTTTGCGCAGATGACGCTGCTTTTTTCTGTGCAGACGACACAGGTGTTTGCGCAGATGACGCTGCTTTTTTCTGTGTAGACGACACAGGTATTTGCGCAGATGACACAGATTTTTCTGTGTAGACGACAACGGTCTTTGCGCAGATGACGCAGGTGTTTGCGCTGATGACGCTGCTTTTTTCTGTGCAGACGACACAGGTGTTTGCGCAGATGACGCAGCTTTTTCTGTCTAGACGACACAGACGTCTTTGCGCAGATGACGCAGTTTTTTCTGTGTAGACGACACAGGTCTTTGCGCAGATAACGCTGCTTTTTCTGTGTAGACGACACGGGTGTTTGCGCAGATGACGCAGCTTTTTACTATGTAGACGACACAGGTGTTTGAGCAGATGACACAGATTTTTCTGTGTAGACGACACAGGTGTTTGCGCAGATGACGCAGCTTTTTACTATGTAGACGACACAGGTGTTTGAGCAGATGACGCAGCTTTTTCTGTGTAGACGACACAGGTGTTTGCGCAGATGACGCTGCTTTTTTCTGTGCAGACGACACAGGTGTTTGCGCTGATGACGCTGCTTTTTTCTGTGCAGACGACACAGGTGTTTGCGCAGATGACGCAGCTTTTTCTGTCTAGACGACACAGACGTCTTTGCGCAGATGACGCAGTTTTTTCTGTGTAGACGACACAGGTCTTTGCGCATATGACGCAATTTTTTCTGTGTAGACGACACAGGTGTTTGCGCAGATGACACAGATTTTTCTGTGTAGACGACAAAGGTCTTTGCGCAGATAACGCTGCTTTTTCTGTGTAGACGACACAGGTGTTTGCGCAGATGACACAGATTTTTCTGTGCAGACAACACAGGTCTTTGCGCAAATGACACGGCTTTTTCTGTGTAGACGACACAGGTCTTTGCGCAAATGACACAGCTTTTTCTGTGTAGACGACACAGGTCTTTGCGCAGATGACGCAGCTTTTTCTGTGTAGACGACACAGGTCTTTGCGCAGATGACACATCTTTCTCTGTGTAGACGACACAGGTCTTTGCGCAGATGACACAGCTTTCTCTGTGTAGACGACACGGGTGTTTGCGCAGACGACGCAGGTGTTTGCGCAGCTTAGCTACGAAGTTTAGGTACAGTAGTCATAGTCATCATCTAAATAAATGAATCATCTAAGCCATCTGGCCCTTACAAAGTAGGCACACTCAACTGCAGGACTCTACAAACGCCACCGTCCCAAGTCAAGTTTTGTTAATGATAATGTGTGTACAAGAACACACATTATGTTTTGTGCCTAAGATACAGAACCGGATATTGTAGCATGCACAATCCTTGTTACTGCATCAGCTGATGTATCTGTATCTGTATAGCTTGTATAACCGCCTTTCGCAGGCACGCGGCGCGGCGGCAGCTGGCTACATTACACTGATCGACTTGTCACACCTAACCCTTGAACTTTTTACTCTAGACATTGTCTAAAGCTATCTAATGATAATGCCCCTACTGTACTTGGTGACAGCGAGTTCCACTCTGCGATACTTCTAGGAAAGAATGAATTCTTGAACACCTTAATCCTTGCTTGATAACTCTAGTACTTGAAGGCATGGCTATTTCTTGTTCTCTTGTATATGGTTTTTAATGGTAATACATAAAGTACTATGCTCCGTACCTGCAGCATTTCGTGCCTGATCGCTGAGATAACCTCTCGCAGCCGCTGTATCCCAGAGGACCCCGCTTCTAAGCAGTTGATGAGAAACACCTCCTGTGACACCACCAGTGACTCCTGGTACAGTTTACTGTAGTATTCCACTATAGCTTTGGCCCTGCGCCAACCTACGAGTGAAAACGGAGACGTTTAAATTTATATGGTTACAGCGCTACGCTTATGTAACTTGACAAAGGTAGCATGGTTGGAATACCATGCATACAATAGGGGCTGCACGAGCTACCTCCATGGAGGAGCTCTGCAGAGCTCCTCCATGGAGGTAGCTCGTACAGCCCTCCGCGATACCCCCGCAGAGCTCCGCGACAAAACAAGTCAATTCGCTGGTTGTCGTCACGGTTGAGTTTTACTTTTAAATCTATCACCTCTGCGTTCAAAACAAACCAATTCGATGGCTGGCGTCAGTTTTGTATAGAGCTTCGTGGATTTTAAGCCAGTTCAATGTGACTACTAGGCTTTGTAATGTACCAGGGGCTCTCCCAAATAAACAAGACTTCGCAGAGCTTCATGGAGCTGCTCGGACAACCCTAGTTCCGTCGGTTATAAAGCATACAGAGCTCCGCGACAAAACAAGTTAATTCGCTGGTTGTGATCACTGTTGAGATTTCTTTTAAATTTGTGAGCTCTGCGTTCAAAACAAGTCAATTCGATGGCTGTCGTCAGTTTTGTATAGAGCTCCGTGGATTTTAAGCCAGTTCAATGTGACTACTAGGCTTTGTAACGTACCAGGGGCTCTCCCAAATAAACAAGACTTCGCAGAGCTTCATGGAGCTGCTCGGACAACCCTAGTTCCGTCGGTTATAGAAGTTTTATTGCAAATTAATGCCTGGGGGGCTAATTGCAGATTACAAACATAAAAGAACAATGGAACGTAGTATAAAATAACTAAAATCTACATGATAAAAGGTAGTTGTCTAGAGCTATAGCTTTGTCTAAAACTATGTCTAAGGGGTTTGACTACTCTTTTTTAGACCATGGAAGACGTAATGTCCCACCTTTTCTAAAATCAGTGGGTTTTGGGAAGTTAAAAGAAGAATAGTTTTTTCTTGGTCTGTAAGTTTAGTAAAATTGGGTTATAAAGCATACAGAGCTCCGCGACAAAACAAGTCAATTCGCTGGTTGTCGTCACGGTTGCTTTAAAATCTTTGAACTCTGCGTTCAAACCAATTCGATGGCTGGCGTCAGTTTTGTATAGAGCTCCGTAGATTTTGAATAAGCCAGTTCAATGTGACTGCTAGGCTTTGTAACGTACCAGGGGCTCTCCCAAACAAACAGACTTCGCAGAGCTCCATGGAGGTGCTCGCGCAGCTCGCTCTGGCTCCGTGGTCATAAAGCACGCACAGAGCTCAGCGACCAAACAAGTCAATTCGCTGGTTGTCGTCACTGCTGAGTTTTGCTTTTAAATCTATCACCTCTGCGTTCAAAACAAACCAATTCGATGGCTGGCGTCAGTTTTGTATAGAGCTCGGTGGATTTTAAGCCAGTTCAATGTGACTACTAGGCTTTGTAGAGTTGGCTTTGTAACGTACCGCGATACCCCAGGAGAGCTCTGCGACAAAATAAGTCAATTCGTTGTACAATAAAGGTCTTTAATTTATTCACTATATAAAGGGCTCTGTAACCTGAGACAAATTAAGAAAATAGTCTACGAAGCTCCAACCGTGGAGCGGCAATTTTCCGTCTCGTAAACGGTCGATGCCATTCGGCTGGTCGATGCCATATCCGAGCAAGGAGTTTCTACTAGGTGTAGAAGCGTACGAACTTTTTTGGGGGTCCACAAACGAATAAAAAGTGATATGCACTATAAAAAGCAATATTCTAATTGGAAGTATAAGGGAAGGTCATGTCAAATTGTAAATATCAGTAAAAAAAGGGGGCAAGCTCAGATTCAAACCCGGGTCTAAAGGTGTAGCTCTAAAACCATAACCTAAACCCGCTACCCTAACCTCTACGCCACAAAACATCACGGTGTGGATGGACCATTCTGATACACATAAAGTTAGACGTTCTGCGATATGGCATCGACCGTTTCAAAAGGCGACGACCGTTTGCGAGACGAAAATTAGCCGCGGAGCTGCTAAAATAGCCCTCCGAGAGTTGTCACAAACAGCTCTGTGACAAGTTAATTCGTTAAACCTTTAGTATACAAGAACAATATTCAGAGAGACAAGTTAACATATTTGCTCCATACAAAACAAACAAGTTCAAACAAACATGCTTTTTCCAAGAATTTTGTTGTGTGATCGATCATGCAGGGTGGCACCTATTGTCCTGTATTTTACAACCAACATCCGCCCTAATCAAGACGGCCACCCGCACACAAAACAAGCCATGCACAGTTGTGAAAAAGGTGTGAACGTGCCATAATCCAAAATTCAAAAGAGTGCAAAACTGAACCTGTGACCCCAGCCATCGTTTTGAATGCAGAGCTCAAAGAGATCTAAGAAAACATCAACCATGACGCGCCAACCAACAAATTTGACTTGTTTTGACGCAGAGCTCTTCATGCTTTATATTACTGACGGAGCTAGGGCTGTCCAAGCACCTCTATAAACTCTGCAAAGTCTTGTTTGCTTGGTTGAGCCCCCGCACGTAGTAGCCACACTGAAGTTAGCTTAAAATCTACGGAGCTCTATACAAAACTGACGCCAGCAATCGAATTGGCTTGTTATGAACACATAGTTCAAAGATTTGAAAGCAAAACTCAACAGTGACATATTGACTTGTTTTGTCGCGGAGCTCTGTATGCTTTTAACCATGGAGTTAAAATCTCTATGTTTAACCGACAGCGCTAGGGCTTTCCTAGCACCTCTGTGAACTCTGCGAAGTCTTGTTTATTTGGGAGAGCCCCTGGTACGTTACAAAGCCTAGTAGTCACATTGAACTGGCTTAAAATCCACCGAGCTCTATACAAAACTGACGCCAGCCATCGAATTGGTTTGTTTTGAACGCAGAGGTGATAGATTTAAAAGCAAAACTCAGCAGTGACGACAACCAGCGAATTGACTTGTTTGGTCGCCGAGCTCTGTGCGTGCTTTATGACCACGGAGCCAGAGCGAGCTGCGCGAGCACCTCCATGGAGCTCTGCGAAGTCTGTTTGTTTGGGAGAGCCCCTGGTACGTTACAAAGCCTAGCAGTCACATTAAACTGGATTATTCAAAATCTACGGAGCTCTATACAAAACTGACGCCAGCCATCGAATTGGTTTGAACGCAGAGTTCAAAGATTTTAAAGCAACCGTGACGGCAACCAGCGAATTGACTTGTTTTGTCGCGGAGCTCTGTATGCTTTATATATAAACCGACGGAACTAGGGTTGTCCGAGCAGCTCCATGGAGCTCTGTGAAGTCTTGTTTGTTTGAGAGAGCCTCTGGTACGTTACAAAGCCTAGTAGTCACATTGAACTGGCTTAAAATCCACGGAGCTCTATACAAAACTGACGCCAGCCATCGAATTGACATGTTTTGAACGCGGAGCTTAAAGATTTAAAAGTAAAACTCAACCGTGACGACAACCAGCGAATTAACTTGTTTTGTCGCGGAGCTCTGCAGAGGTATCACTTGGGGCTGCACGAGCAACCTCCATGGATGGAGGTTGCTCGTGCAGCCCCTTCTCCATGCATAGTGACACAAGAATTTGGAGACCTCATACCTTATATAAAATACCTTATATAAAATATGTGCACGTTTTGTAAATTTTTAGTCTCATTACTTATGGCAATGAGGTTATATCATTAGCTCAGGCCATTATCTTTCATAATTGGTATATGTTTTGTTCCATTTGCCAAAGATTGCATGCATCGCATGTATGAAAGTACTAGTATGTAAAACAATTTAATTCCAGAATTTCCTTCTTAATTTTGCCAATTCAGTCTTATTTGCAACAGTTTCGTTTAGCTATGTACAGTTTTCTCTAAGCTTTCTACGTACTAAAACGATTGAAATACGTTATTCCTTTTTTAAGACTTATTAGCTTTAAAATAAGACCCTGCAGTTCCAGAACAAGATGTTAGGGGGACAAAACCCACACCACTTATTCCTGACAAGAAAAGTTGTCGGCCACCAAAGTCACGACCATAGAATGTTTTAAACAAACGATACAAAACCGGAAGTTCTGTTTCAGTACCAAGGTCATCAACCAGGAGGAACATATTCAACCTTGACCTACCAAGATAATCCCTTAAGGCATTCTGAAGTTATACTAAGTGCGGGAAAAAAGATGAACACAGACACAGACACACACACATACACATACACACACAAACAAACAAACACAAACACTGAAAAAAAAAACAATGCCTCCATATTTCATGGAGGTTATAAACCTGTTTAACCTAACTCTGATTTTATTATCATTATTCTGCCTTTCCGAAGTAATAGATAATCTACAGACTAACCAGCATTCTTGTCCTGTAGTTTGTCCGCATGGCTCGCGATCAGGATTACGCGAGGCTTGTTGGTGGGATCTGCGTTACTGCAGCAGATGAAACTCAGCCAACTGTGGACCTTGGGGAGATAGATGTAAGCAAAACATTATTTTGACTTGTAATTCTGTAGTATTAGCCGCATTATTATCTTTGACTGGTATGGTAAATTCAATTTGCTCTTAGACACCATACAACCATATGAATTTTATAATTATACACTTTGAAGAAAGTTGTAGGTAATCTTGCCTCTCGTTTCTGTTCCTCCTCTACATCTGTGATTTTGTAGACGACAGGAAAGATGGCGTTAGTCGTACCTAGCAGCATGGCGTGTGTGACGTAGAACTGCGCGTATCCAACGAAGTGATACAGACACAGTCTCCCGATCCCCCGAACAGTTTTAATAGATACATGCACCCCAGGGAAAGGGATAAAGTCGTCTTGTCGTTTTAACTTCCTTCTTATGTTCCACGAAGTACCGACGAAAAATCCTGTCTGAAAATGTTTGGATAAATTAGAATAATATTTTAGTCTTTTGTACGGTCTTCTTGTAAAATTGACATTGTCAAGTCACAACGCATATTTGTTTAACTTACAAGGCATGCTTGTTGTGCATGTAGATCCTTACCATTTCCAGAATCTTTCGCAAAGATGTTTTGCCGACCCGAAAATCTCCAAGGAAAAACAATCTGACTGTTGTCTTGTCCTCAGGCCGCACGGTGGAGACCAGCTCGATGTACTCTGCCTGCTTCAACATTCCTGTCTGTGGGTTGATTTTGTCAAGAGATCAGAGAAAGAGGGGTACCGAATAGTTATTTATTAGGGATGCCTAAAAGGCTCTGGAGGAAGTCCTATATCTCAATAACACATTGGTAGCGGCTTTCACTTGTTTATGCAACAATATGTCCCAAATTTGATACGTCCAGGATTATTTCGACTACAGTTGTCGAATGAATATGTTCTATGAACTGTTACTGTTAGTACTAAACTTGTACACATCGTCAAAAGCTTTTTCCGTGTCAATGTAGTGAAAAAATTATGCCGTAATACGTAGTTTTAATAGTTAATAGAAAAACTTACCTCGAGCGATAACCGTGTACCTCTGGCCAGTCCCCCAGCGAGGTCAACGGGGCGCTCGTGTGACTAATATTAGACAATAAACATTCAATTGTGATTAAACCTATATGTGCATTAAGTGATCTTTCATGAAAACAAGAAGATTTTGAGGTACATTTAAAAATATTTGAGTGTTGACTCCATTTATGTCGCTGCTGGCCCATGGGCTTACTACAAGGTGGTATCTGCACGTTTCGTAATTAGGCGGAGCTATAACTGCAAAGTATTGAATATGTGTAATATTTCGTTCTTACCTCATTAGCCACAAGCAGATCAGCTTGGTTCTTAACAAGCAGTTCAACAACACTGTTATAACCTTGTCTGCACGCCGTATGCAAGGCTGTGTCTCCATCCTGTAACAAAGTAGTTCAACATATAAATAACATTTTGGCTTACGTGTTCATTAAAGAAACTTTCAAAGCGAATGAGAAAGTTGTAAAAATTAGTGAAGAAAAATATGGGATCATATCTACTCAGAACAAAAGAATTTCTTTTATGTTACGTTTTAACTATCTGCATCTTTTTAAAGCATGTGTACCTTTACAAAGCTAATAAGATATTTTTTTTCTAAAAACTTTGCCAGCATACCCCTGTCTAAGATAGTATAAATCTTCAAGTAAACAAGTTTGTTAGCCATTGAATGTCAACAAAGTAGACAGAGGTAAAAAGAGCCATGCAATATAAACTTCAACTAGTAAGAAATATCTCTCTTTCACATGACGTTCATGTTGACACCCTAAGAAACAATTCAACCTCATTCCAGATTGAACAAGTGTTAAAGTCAATTTATAATACAATCTTCTAAAACAAGGCCACACACCTCCTAAAGGAACTCTAAACGACATTTACGGCCGTAGAACGCCCGATGTTCTGTCCAGCATCGCGCTAATTTTCGGGATCGCCGGCGATTTTTTGGAGTCGGCTGAAGCTCGCTGACACGCGAAACGTGTTCTTAACATCAGCGACTAGTCGCCGGCGATTTTTGAGGTCGCAGACCTCGTTTCCAGCTCGCGCGTAGCTCGCCCGTAGCTCGTCCCTGTACTGCCGAGAGTCGACCGATATTCGGGCGTACATCTCACGAGTCTCGGCCGTTTTTTGTCTTCGAAAATTGGGCAATGGTCAGGCCAATGGTCGCTGAATACGGTCGACCCTCGCGCGAGCTTCGCGAAATATTCGGGCGACCCTCTTCCGTACCTCGCCCGACTTGCGCAAAGTTTTTAAAATTGTGCGTGCCAGTGTCGGCCTTCTTTTAGGAGGTGTGTGGCCTTGTTTTAGAAGATTGTATTATAAATTGACTTTAACACTTGTTCAATCTGGAATGAGGTTGAATTGTTTCTTAGGGTGCCAACATGAACGTCATGTGAAAGAGAGATATTTCTTACTAGTTGAAGTTTATATTGCAATTAAAAAAAGGGTTCTTTTTACCTCCGTCTACTTTGATGCCATTGAATGGCTAACAAACTTGTTTACCGGAAGATTCATAGTATTTTAGACAGAAGTATAGAGGCAAAGTTTTAGAACAAAATGTCATATTAGCTTTGTTCATGTACACGTACACGTTTATAAGACGATTTTGATATAATGATAATAATTATGTTCCTGTACATTTTGGTTGAATGGTCTAGAGATCGTGCGAGCATCGATAGATCTTCGATCGTAACTCGAGCGACGTACGCCCGTGTGTCGAGCGAGCTTCGGCCGACTCCCGTTTGGTTAAAAAGGTGATCTTTATTTTAACCAGACGGTAGTGTAAATTTGTGGCTCTTGTGGTAGTATTTGAGTTGGATTTTTCACAGAATTCCTGTTTATATTTCTATTCTATTCTGCCAGTCCGCTCCATTACTTTGCTAAAAAATATTACGAAACGTCAAACATAAAAATTCGCCAAACTATTCATTTTTAGGTGCATGGATACACTGGCCTTGCTTCATCTGCTTGCCATGTCATTATCATAGATGCATTCCCAAGCAATCGCCCGAGCCTCGCACAATGTGACCGCGACGATTTTCAAGCCAAAAATACGCGCGATCATCGGTCGATCTCGAAATCGGCCGATCTTTCGGCGATTGACAAATGCGGCCGAAGCTTGTTGACAATGTGAGTGGGGCATAACGAATGCACAAAAGTACAAAAAGCACGAGTTTATCTTTTCTTATCCTTTCTCGTTAAGAACCAGGGAGGATTGCTCCTGCGAAACGTTACACGATATACTGCCAATACAGTCTCACAATAAATGTCATTTGTTTAACACAGGTGTAATTTCTATTGAGTTGACATACATTTCGTCCGACATACGCACAAAGCCCACCCGAAGCACGCACGATTTTATAAACTTTGCACAGGTCGACCGAGGTACGGAAGAATATTGCGCGAAGGGTCGACCGTATTCAGCGACCATCGTCCGACTTTGAATGGCGAAGAACGGCCGAGACTCGTAGGATGTACGGCCGAATATCGATTGACTCTCGGTCGCACAGGGGTGAGCTACAGGCGAGCTACAGGCGAGCTGAAAACGAGCTTTTCGACCTCAAAAATCGCCGGCGACCATACCACCCACACCATCATTGCTTTCTTATATGGTTCTACGAAGTTGCACTCGACGGCATATTAATTTCGAACTCTTGCCGGAAAGTCTGTGGCGCCCCCCGTCTCTGTTAAGGGGTGGTTTTAATGCCCTGATGTTAAGCGGTGGTTGTAATGCCCTGATGTAGATGTCCCCCGTCTCTGTTAAGGGGGGGGGGTTGTAATGCCCTGATGTTAAGGGGTGGTTGTAATGCCCTGATGTAGATGTCCCCCGTCTCTGTTAAGGGGTGGTTGTAATGCCCTGATGTAGATGGCCTCTTTAATCCCTCATGCTAAGAAGTCCGGTTCTCTGTCGGGGAGCAAAACAGACTTTCCGCATACTATGATCCACTACTCACGGAGTCACGTGTGTTATCTGCGTGACGTCACGAAAGCGATGGAGTGCTCATTCCTGAACAAAGACTGGAGTTGTACAGCCGAAAATTAATGTGACTCCAACGTTTTGTGTCGAAATTGCCGTTTAAACCCAAACAGTACACCTGGTGTCCGCGCGGACCCCAAAACGATATATTCTGCAATATGTTTTTTTTTTTTTTGTTTTTAAAGATTTTTTTCTGAAATTTCAGGTAATTGTCATCTACAAATTTGTCCCTCAATATAATGCAGAAAATCTATTTTCCCCAATATTTAAAAAAAAAAATTATATCTGACTTTCTTTTGGGGTCCGCGTGGAAACCTGTGTGGTGGAAACCTGTGTGGTGGAAACCTGTGTGATGGAAACCTGTGTGGTTGAAACCTGTGTGGTGGAAACCTGTGTTGTAGAAACCTGTGTGATGGAAACCTGTGTGGTGGAAACCTGTGTGATGGAAACCTTTGTAGTGGAAACTTGTGTGGTGGAAACCTGTGTGGTGGAAACCTTTGTAGTGGAAACCTGTGTGGTGGAAACCTGTGTGATGGAAACCTGTGTGATGGAAACCTGTGTGATGGAAACCTGCGTGGTTGAAACCTGTGTGGTGGAAACTTTTGTGGTGGAAACCTGTGTGGTGGAAACCTGTCTGGTGGAAACCTGTGTGATGGAAACCTGTGTGGTGGAAACCTATGTGATGGAAACCTGTGTGGTGGAAACCTGTGTAGTGGAAACCTGTGTGATGGAAACCTGTGTGATGGAAACCTGTGTGGTGGAAACCTGTGTGGTGGAAATCTGTGTGGTGGAAACCTGTGTGGTGGAAACCTGTGTAGTGGAAACCTATGTGATGGAAACCTGTGTGGTGGAAACCTGTGTAGTGGAAACCTGTGTGGTGGAAACCTGTGTGGTGGAAACCTGTGTGGTGGAAACCTATGTGATGGAAACCTGTGTGGTGGAAACCTGTGTGATGGAAACTTGTGTGGTGGAAACCTATGTGATGGAAACCTGTGTGGTGGAAACCTGTGTGGTGGAAACCTGTGTGGTGGAAACCTGTGTGATGGAAACCTGAGTGGTGGAAACCTGTGTGATGGAAACCTGTGGTGGAAACCTGTGTGGTGGAAACCTGTGTGGTGGAAACCTGTGTGGTGGAAACCTGTGTGGTGGAAACCTATGTGATGGAAACCTGTGTGGTGGAAACCTGTGTAGTGGAAACCTTTGTGGTGGAAACCTGTGTGGTGGAAACCTGTGTGGTGGAAACCTGTGTGGTGGAAACCTGTGTGATGGAAACCTGTGTGGTGGAAACCTGTGTGATGGAAACCTGTGTGGTGGAAACCTGTGTGGTGGAAACCTATGTGATGAAAACCTGTGTGGTGGAAACCTGTGTGATGGAAACCTGTGTGGTGGAAACCTGTGTGGTGGAAACCTATGTGATGGAAACCTGTGTGATGGAAACCTGTGTGGTGGAAACCTGTGTGATGGAAACCTGAGTGGTGGAAACCTGTGTGATGGAAACCTGTGGTGGAAACCTGTGTGGTGGAAACCTGTGTGGTGGAAATCTGTGTGGTGGAAACCTGTGTGGTGGAAACCTGTGTGGTGGAAACCTGTGTGATAGAAACCTGTGTAGTGGAAACCTATGTGATGGAAACCTGTGTGGTGGAAACCTGTGTGGTGGAAACCTGTCTGGTGGAAACCTGAGTGGTGGAAACCTGTGTGGTGGAAACCTGTGTGGTGGAAACCTGTGTGGTGGAAACCTGTGTGGTGGAAACCTGTGTGATGGAAACTTGTGTGGTGGAAACCTGTGTAATGGAAACCTATGTGATGGAAAGCTGTGTGATGGAAACCTGTGTGGTAGAAACCTTTCTGGTGGAAACCTGAGTGGTGGAAACCTGTGTGGTGGAAACCTATGTGATGGAAAGCTGTGTGATGGAAACCTGTGTGGTAGAAACCTTTCTGGTGGAAACCTGAGTGGTGGAAACCTGTGTGGTGGAAACCTGTGTGATGGAAACCTGTGTGGTGGAAACCTGTGAGGTGGAAACCTGTGTGATGGAAACTTGTGTGGTGGAAACCTGAGTGGTGGAAACCTGTGTGATAGAAACTTGTGTGGTGGAAACCTGTCTGGTGGAAACCTGTGTGATGGAAACCTGTGTGATGGAAACCTGTGTGGTGGAAACCTGTGTGATGGAAACCTGTCTGGTGGAAACCTGTGTGGTGGAAACTTGTGTGGTGAAAACCTGTGTGGTGAAAACCTGTGTGGTGGAAACCTGTGTGGTGAAAACCTGTGCGGTGGAAACCTGTGTGGTGGAAACCTGTGTGGTGAAAACCTGTGTGGTGGAAACCTGTGTTGTGAAAACCTGTGTTTGTTTGTTTTTTTATTTCGATCCCCATTAGTGCTTAAAAGCACTATTCTTCCTGGGATCAATAAAATAAAACATAGATAACAAAACTTTGTACATAATGATGATTACAAATAATAAAGTAACTTCAAATCAATAGAGTAAATTCAAATCAATAGGAGAGGTCAGAGGTCGACCTAAAAAAGCACAGAATAATCTGAACATAATTCAGAGTTGTATGTAATCAACAAAGGTGCCAACAAAATTAACAAAGGTATAAACAACTTAAATAACTGAATAGAACATAATGTCTAACTGATCATAATTCCAAAGAAAAGATAAATATAACAAATTGATCAGCCATTTAAATAACTGAAAGGTAGCAGCAGAGACAAAATAACTTATACAAAATCAAATAAAACATTCTATACAATAAGGGATCAGGCTTAGCTTATGCTTGTTACCACCATAGGCTCAATGGTGAGGATTTGCTTTGAGTCATAGCCCAATCTCTTATTCTTGTTTTGAATACAGCACAGTCGGTTGTGATTAAGTTACTAGGTAGTGTGTTATACGCTTTAGTGCATCTGTAAAGAAATGATCTAGTCAGGGCTTTGGTTCTGGGTTTGGGTAGTGTGTAGCCTCCTCTGTGTGACAATCTGGTGTTGTGTTGGTGTGAGATATGAGTCGTACTAACTCTGTCATATGTGCTTTTTGGTTGTTTGACTTTGACAAGTTTGTGGAAGGCACTTAAGGTGGTAGTGTACATTCTTTCCTTGACAGATTGCCACTTGAGCCTAGAGTGTAGATCGTCAGAACTAGTGAGTTGTGTTGAGTTCGCTGCAAGCCTAGCTGCTCGGTTTTGCATACTCTGTAGTTTGTCTAGCTGTGTCTGTGTTGTGGAGGAGAGTATTGTAGAACAGTAATCTAGGTGGGATAGAACAAGGGATTGGATGACAGTTTTAAGTAGATCACCTGGGAAGTGTGTGGTGAAAACCTGTGTGGTGTACTGTGTAGCCTGTGTAGTTGAAACCTGTGTGTTTGAAACCTGTCTGTTTGAAACCTGTCTGATTGAAACCTGTGTGATTGAAACCTGTGTGGTGGAAACCTGTGTGGTGGAAACCTGTGTGGTGAAAACCTGTGTGGTGGAAACCTGTGTGGTGAAAACCTGTGTGGTAGAAACCTGTGTGGTTGAAACCTGTGTGGTGGAAACCTGTGTGGTGAAAACCTGTGTGGTGGAAACCTGTGTGGTGAAAACCTGTGTGCTGTAGCCTGTCTGGTATAAAACTGGGAGGTGGAAACCTGTGTGGTGTAGCCTGTGTGGTCTAACCTTTGTGGTTGAAATCTGTGTGTTGGAAATCTGCGTGGTGTAGCCTTTTTTGTGAAAACCTGTGTGGTGGATACCATTGTTTCGGAAACCTTTATGCTAAGCCTTTATGGGTGAAACCGAAATAAAATAGAAATCCGAATGAAAAGTTTACATTCGAAAACACGGCGACAAAGAAATATCTTATTGACTTCTCCAATAACTTTGACAAAGAATAGAGGTCATGTCCGTATCTTAAAAGTGGGCAGACTTCAAAGACAAAATGAAACATACTATCCTTAGCTAGATGAATTCGAGCATACATATCCTGCTTTGGTTTACAAGTAATAAGGCATTGTCGCAAATAGCACCACCTATATAACAAATTTACGAAAACAGGACAAGAGTAAGACTGGAACAAATATCAGACGGTTAAAAGGAGTTTTGAAACCATAAGACGATCACACTCAAAATATGTGGCAGACACGAAGAAGCTCAGTTAATCGGCAAACCCGATACATTCTGGTGATACATAGAAGGACTGAGGAGAGACCTTGTAGGAATACCACTATCAGTGACAGCGGGAAAGAAGCAGAAGCACTCAGTTCAAAATTACAATTCAAACGCGTTTTCCCATAAGAAGCACAACAGAAATGCCATTTGGGTCAGTTCTGTACCCCTTCTATTGGAAGATGTAGAAGTTTGTATTGATGGCTAGGAAACATAGACACTTGATTAAATATAATCTACACTTTGTTACCAGGTGTTTACGTTCTTACCTTGTTAGTCACATTGAGATCAGCCCCATTCTTGATAAGCAGCTCCACAACCTTGTCATGACCTCGTCTAGACGCTTTATGCAGAGCTGTGTCCCCGTCCTGACAGACAAAGGGATAACAATGATTACATCAAAGGTAAGGGTGATAATGTTCAGGTGTATATATCATGCCGTGAAGTAATTATCTGTGCTTTTTTATCCAATTCAAAACAATGTTGGGAAAACAATGGTGGGTTCTATCTTAATTGAATGTACTTTTAACTTATGTACAGTGAACCTTTTTTCCAATGCAAACATTCAAGCCTTGGATTTTTTCAGATTAAAAAAAAAGTTAATAAATCAAATCCTAACAAACACAATGGTGAGTTGGCCAACAAACAAATTACGGTACATTTATTTGTACAAAATACAAATTTTATTAAAGAGAGAACTGGTCGTATTTTTGAGGTACGATTTCCTAATAAATGTTTAATTGACATGAATGATATATCAATGTTGACAATATAACAGAAAATATAATGAACATTTCCCCTTAGAATTTTCGGTGAAATAAAGACTAACCAGCGGGATATATACACTTTAGGAGCTCGTTTGCTTTCCATTTTGTATGATTAAAAGTCACTGACCATGCACTCTGTTACATAAGGTTGGGCCATTAACCATTAACGGACTGCTTGTGCTCGCTGTTATTCACTATATGATTTTCAACGAAGGTCTTGAGATCAAGATGGAGAAGTTGCATTACTCAATGCACAAGGAAAAGTCTGGTAAAAAGGCAAGTGAATATGTCAAGAAAATGGATACTACCTGGCCATTTCAGTACTGCCTTTGCGTCCACCGAAATATCTGCTATCAGCCCTACAATCTGTCACTATATAGTATATGGCCTATGACAGGAAGCATTGAATTTCATTATAGTCAGTGGTACTTACCAAAGCCTTTGTATCGACGTCCACTCCTTTCCTCAGCATAGTTATGACAGCATCTACATGCCCATTCAGAGCAGCCAAGACGAACTCATTGGAGTCCATGGCCCTCCCTCTATAAAATAGTTCATGTAAAATATAAACACAATCTATTAACATTGATTTTCGCGTTAATGATGTAAAAAAATTATTCTTATCCTTGCAGATGTCAGTTTTAGTATTTAGCAAAGAAGTTGCTACTACGATGCCAGATGCACGTGCATAATTATGTAGAAACTTTACAAGTAAAAACAATTATGGTACTAACGTTATATCAAGGTAATAAAAAAAGAACCTTTCCACAGACGAAAATACTTTATCAATTCTTGCATATGTTATGTTGCAATGTGTATAGGCATATTTTGTACAGTATACTTAATAATGCTGCACTGTTGAGTAATTTCTCAGTCATAAAAGTGTTCATCGCCATATAGGGTAAGTTCTGTTTTTCATTTTGGTTTACCAAATTGTAAGTATTGGTCACCTGGCAGAAGGTAGTAGAGTTTTTGAAATTGGTGGACTACATACCGACTAAAAATCAGTGATTAAAAAAAGTGTCTTTGAATCACTGCTTGTTACTCGACATATAATCCAGACATCAGGCTACACCGACTTAATTTAATGGATGACATCCACGCGTGCATTAATTTTCGCCTGTTCTAAAAAAAAAAAGTCACGTCATCCGCTCGAGGCTCTGGCCTGGCTCTATGGGTAGTCCATGGTAGTTACAAGTGACAATACGGAGCCGGTGGTAACTCTGGAGGATGGCACCCAGGCTACATAAGCTCCATGATGGTAAGAACTCGGTACAAATTACGGACAGTGTCGATTTATAAATTCCGCGAAAAGCCAGCTTGTGCCGGCTTGTCGTATAATGTCGCTATGTACTGCCGTAAATTCACAATACCTGCCTTGTATTCCTGTGGTTTAGTAGCATTTTTGGCCTGATTTTTTTATTCGCCCGCGCGCACTAGTCTGGTGGTCTTCAGAGGATGTCATCCGTAAAATTAAAATGATGTGGTCTTATCAAAAACTCTGCTACCTACCAGCGAAAGAAAAGTTAAACTTTATACAGCGGTACATTTATGACAACCAAATAATACATAACGAAGGTATAAGATCACCAAGATCTTGTCTTAAACAGCACGGTACAGTGAAGGTATTCTGTCCAGAGAGGACAGATATTTCAGAATGAAATACATGTATTCGCCCAATCAGCCACTCTACCCTAACATTAGTAAAACACACACCTTGCCATTTCCAAATGCGTCTATTTGACAATGTTTTAAATCATACCACCTCCCTTAATTAGCAGCCTGTAAGTAATTCTATTTAGACTATAAAATCTCTTTAGACTTGGTTTCAATCTGATACCAATAAACGCCCTCATCACCTCGAATGTTTAAACCTAAGTTGTGATATTAGCAGGTGAACTTAGGCATAACCTGAAACATTTTGAAACACCTCATCAATGACCATGGCATCACGTTAAATCATGTGCCCGGCTGTTGGCCTGTGCTTATGTACTAATTCTGCCACAGATCAGACACAGATGAATCGCTGCAGTATCTACTTCACCTAGAATAGTTTCTCAGACAAACATGCTTACTCTAGAATCCAGGTTTATCAAATGTCTGGACTCGTAAGTGATTTTGTCAACAATCTAACACTGCACGTTTGGTCCCATAACCTACCAGTTCATTTTGTGGTTATATGAAATCACCAGGCTTTATGACACAATATAAACAAAGGAACGTAATTAACGCGATGAAGATTAAATGTCTTATCGGCCATCGCATATGTTATTCTTGAGTTCCGAGCTGCAACCCTCCCTCCCACTCGGATCCGAGGTACGTCGGGCGCGCAGTAATAAGCCACAGTAATTATATATAATTATGCAGAATCCAAATGTAATGCGATAGGAAAATAAAAACCAACTTGACCAAAAAGCAAGAATCCTATATTTTCTTAAATTTTTGACATGATTATAAACCTTGTTAAGCAAGAAGCAATATCTAAATTCCCGTTTAAGATAGCAGCGGAATTTCACAACTTGTCGAGCAGGGAAGTTAATCACTGACAGTATAGTAGAGAAGAAAGTTTTTATCTTTAAGGACCTATAAAGATCATTCAAAATTTTTAAATACCTGCTACCAGTCCACTTAGATGTATGCAGCAACTACAGGTTTAGGTTAATGTCTGCAGAATCTTTAGGGTCCGACATGTTTGTTACGCCACCATCAGACAAAATGGCGGGATGGATTTTAGACTTTAGTCTTGGATCACATGAAATCCTGTATGTTTGACCTTTGGCACTCTTCATACTTGTTTTTTAGTGCCTCGTGATGGTGACGTCTTACCGAATGCAAGCTTACACCTGACACGTATTCTGACCTTGTATTAAATTTTAACCAGATATATTTTGTCACAGCTTCGCCATTTACGGAATATCTTTGTTGACAAATATAGTGTAGTGTAGTGTCATACTATCTGTATATTAGTATAACGGTTTAACCTCGCACAAACACATAATGCGAACGTAATGCGAAAAAAACATGATTTATTAACCAAGCATTAAGATTTTAGAGCGGCATTATTTATTTTAACTAATTAGTTCTTTACCTAGATTTTGGAATATTTTGTACTTTTCTCATTGTTTTTATGCCGTACGTGTCTACCGTGACAGCTGAAGCACTAAGCTGGTAATTCCTGAAGCCGACCCGGTAACCAAGATGCGCACAAGCTACTTTGTGTACATATGGTAAAGTACACAGGCTACTGATGTTAAAACCATGCCCTACTAAAGGCAAAACAAGACACATAATTCAATGGCTTCTTGTCCTTAAGGCCATGTCGATTTGATTATATGGATGACATCCTCCGGGAGCCCCAAAACTGATGCGCGCGTGCGAATAAAAAAAAACAGTTTTGCAAAAAAAAATTGTTTTCATTATGAAATCTACGTGGTCATGAAGGTTGAACAAATGGGACAGAATATGGTTTGGCGAATAATCATATTTCAAGTTCATTTCCTTACAATTTCGTCTTTTTTCGTTTGATTTTGGCATTCTACGACATTGGTATAGTTTTTACTTATTTTTTTGTAACTTACGGTATATTTTTGCTCATTTTGCAACTGTTTTGTACGATTTACAGTATGGTTGGAAACGGCCGAAAATTCATGCGCGCGCGGATGTCATCCATATAATCAAATCAACATGGCCTAAGGAAAAAATTACAGTATTAGCTGTTGCTGCCATAACATTTCTCTTTTTAAGATCCGGTGAATTAAAACAGGCATAAGATAAGATTCAGATTTGGAAGCATGGCATATTTCTTTCGATAAAAAAGAAGAATCTATAGGTGTTGGGCTATATCATATAACAGTTGCGTGTAATTACCTTGTCCAAGAAGGTTATATGTTTGTGGCTGTGTGTGTGTTATGTCATAGGGTGAAGAATATGAGTAACTAATATAAAGCAACTCATTCTTGACCATTTGATTATCTTACATGGAAGGCCACTTGCCTGACTTATATGAGAATCCATTTGCAAGTTACCTAATTTTTATGAGAAGTCATTTCCCTAACTTATGCAAAACCATTTGCCTTTTATTTTTGCCTAACTTTAATGACAAATCTTTTGCCTAACTTTATAATAAGAAAATATTTGCCTAACTTTAATCGGAAGACATTTGCCTAACTTTAGGAAGACATTTGCCTAACTTCAATGGAAATACAATATGTTTAACAATGTGTTTCAGGGACGTGTGTCACATGTATTGAACGTGACTTTGTACATTTCCAAGGTTTCCGATTCGGAAGTAAGCTGTATTTTACAACAAATACATAAATGGTGGGGTCGTGTGGCGTAGCGGCAGAGTGCGCGACTCGGAACCTAGAGGTCCCGGGTTCGAGTCCTGACATGCCACCGATCTTGTGCCCTTGTTAAAGGCACTTTACACGGTTTTCCTCACTTAGCTCAGGTGTAAATGAGTATTGTCCTGTCATGTATTTGTCTCGTGTGCTGGTGGCGACATTGATATAAGTTGAAGAAACTTGAGTGTGTCGTCACCACGTCTGGTGATTACATGTTGGAATAAATTAAAAAAAAATACATAAATGCATGCAGTAAGCTTACGAATGGCAAGAACTGACAGTTTTACCAAAGCATGTATCAGTGACGCAAATCGTTAGGTTTTCAATTGATTTGTCTCACCTTGTGACGTTTGTAGCCAATCTGATTTAATGGATGATTTAATGTTTTGCTTTCTTTTAATCCATGCAATAATCCTTACCCATATTAATAAAACGAGACATGATGTTTTTCAAAGCACCTATCAGTGATGCATGTCTTTAGGTTAAACTTTTAACATGATTTGTCTCGACTGTTCAAGTTTGACGTTTGTAGCCACGGCAGAATTTAATGTTTGGATTCTGTTTTTTTTTTAAATTAATTTCGGGTGTAGACTCAGACGTACTTTGACGGGAGTTCTGCCTGGTGTAGGACGTGTTTTTTTTCTGTCCAGAAACTCGAAAAGTAACATCATGATGTCGGGAGGACAGCAGCAACCACAAACCTCTAACACAGAAGGTAGAGTTTGTTTTATTAGAACTTTCTCTCTGTTCTATTCTTAAAAGAAAGAAGATACTAGACTTGACGTAGTAATATTTTTGAAGTGGCGTTAGTCATCTTGGTTGGATATATTTAGTTATGTATACTTCGTATTCTAGTATTTATCATAAGAAAGGTTGAAAGCCTGGTTGATGCAATTATCCGCCTTTATTTTTCTACATTTGGTTATTTTTATATGGTTTATTTAACCTTATTCATCCCTTCGCCTTCCCCTGTTTCATACAAACGGGAAGGTTGCATTTAGTCTCTGCCAGACTAACTACGCTGGCTATATAGGAAGAACTTTATTGCACGACAATTGCACGTGGTACAATGTATGGCAAACTACATAAAAAGAGTAATAACAATAAGATAGACCTAATGTCGAATAAAACCTAACATATCTATATCATAACTATTCAAATAATAAGGGATATCACAAGTCTTTGATAAAGTATTACAATCGATTGGGCTAATCACAAGTTTCGGTATTTTTTCTAATAGCAAAGCATATTTACCTATTTCTCCGTTGTGGGGACCATTACATGTAAATATATATTCTAATCTGTCTCCAACATCTCCTGAAATCTATGGTACTTGATTCCAGAAATGTAAATAGCTTGTTATGTAGAACATCACATTTGGTACATTCCATGACAAAATGAAATTTATTTTCTATAAGATTTGGACAAAATGGACAGAACCTTTGGTAAGGGAGTTTGGCCGCCTTGTAGGTTTGACTAGTTTGAAAGAAACTACCCCCCCCCCCCCGCGGGCGGACTCCCTTGGCCAATTTTACTCTCTTTTATGACGAATTCTACGATCCGTATTCCCGTAAAAAGGCCTGGTGGAGGCTAGGTTGCATAGGCGCCATGTCCACCGTAACTCAATAGCTATTTACTGTTTATAATATAAGCGCCAAATCTTCAGATGATAATGCCTTTTAAAATTTGTTTTATAACCCGTGGGTTTCATTGACGGGGTTATGATAAATCTTAATGCTGTATATTTTATAGGTGCCACGCCCATACAGCCACAAAGTGATTGGAGGTCAGTTGCAGACGCAGCGGCGAATACTCCCAACCCTATGTACGCCACCAGACCAGGTAAGATAAATGCTGTAATAGGTTGGCAACTTTCAAATGATCTCGTTTGCACCCTTTGTAATGAAAGAATTCGAAGAAAGGGAAACAAATAAAAAAAATGACACGCTCTTTTGATGGCTAGGCTGTTGGCATTTTTACTTCATACAATGTATGTATGTCTTAAATATTGTCTTTAAGAAATGCGTATAAAGTAGGGTAGCACTTATATCCTACGAAATGATTTTAACCTTAACGAATGGTGACTATATACGTCTCTCATATATAGTTCAATTTCAATTTAAAGTTATAATAAGTTGTTCATATTCTCCCCTAAATAAACCGTCTTGTCTTTACAAAGAAGGATAGTTTTTGTTTAATGATGTCCATCTTAACTTCCAAATGCCACTAATGTGAAATTCCCGGCGTGCCAGCAGTTGTCATTATGAAATAAAAGCATTTTCGCCTTAATTATAAAAATAAGGTCTTTTACAAAATCAATATTTGCCCATGTTCGTCTCATTCCTAATTACGTAATATGTCAGTACTTTAAATCGTCCTATATTGGAGCACTGCAGCTTTATAAAAAAGGATCATTGGTTATATAAATTAGAGACTAATCTGCATAAATAATGCACATGCAAAAAAATCATGATGGTTCGTCATCCTTTTAAGATTTTAAACACCCATAGCAATCCGAAAGTGAGCCAAATCATATGCAACTTCTAGCCCCATTTTTCCTACACATCATGTACCTCGAACGCTTTCAGAAAATTTGACCTCAAACTTCTGCTTTAGTACTGTACCCGCTGTGAGGCCCATTGTAGAACTTGACCTTTCTTTTTGCACCTTTCTTTTTGCTGCCCCTGTACATGCAATAGATCAAGAACACTGATAACCCTCCGCAGATTCTTGAGTTAGTCTCTTTCACTGACTTGTGGCGGCGTTATCTTTTTTTTTCGGGAAGCGACTCGGAGGTAGTTTGGCGGTTGCGGAGGGAGTTTTGGCATGGCGGGGGCGGATCGGAGGAATTTTTGGCGGGGGCGGAGAGAGTTTTGGCGGGGGCGGAAAGAGTCTTTCGCGGGGATTATGCCAGCTTTTCAAAACACACAAAAATACAACACGATGGAACAACGTAGAAAACACAACACGTGAACTTTTTTAACTTGACCTTCGTTTTCACATCATTTACACGCCTACCGAATATTATAGCTTCTCGAGTTATGCTGCACACATACAAAAAAGAAATCTCTGTTGACCTACATAAAGACCCACATTAAAGGCAATCCACTATGGCCAAACCGAAAAATACCCTTCTGACGAAGGCAAACATGGTTACATCGCATCTGTTAACAGGTATGTGACAGTGTTGGAAACAAACTTGTCAGAAAGTCAATGACAAACAAACTATTGGCCTTTATGAAAAATTGCAATAAACGACTGACTTAATTTATAAAATATAATTTAAATATATAAATCTAATATTAAATTTGAAATCGACTTTATGATAGTTTTAATATATAAGCAATGATTTTAAACAGATGCAAGCTACGATGCAGATGCCAACAGAAGGAAGAAATGTCGCAGTGTCGGCAAGAAAATGTTTCGAGCTGTCAGCCTTCAAGTCATCATTGCAGTTATGATGTTGATTCCGTATTTGGCAGGTAAACTTCACTTTCTGACTACTATATTATAAAATATTAGTATGTGCTTGTTAATTTGAATTCCTTTTCATACAATAAAAGTGAGAATCCATTACTATTAAAGGAAATTGATTGATTGTAGGGCCTAGGGGTTATTAAACTTTATAAATAAGCAAATTTATATTTAGTAGGAACTGAATTAGTTTTTGATAATATATCTGTATGGTTTCAAGGTTATGCATTTTTTAAAACAGTTACAGTCAACAGTTATGCTGGGGAAATTGCAAAGCTGTCTAAACACATTGAAAGGCTGGAAAGGAGAACTGAGCGTAAGTAGTATTTCTTTAGAAATCGATATCATCATTGTTATGTGAAAGTTTTTTTATTTTATTTGGCAGTACGTTTGTTATTAGGTACAATTTTTGGAAATGTTGTGTGACGTTTGAGAACTGAACGTAAGTAGTATTTCGTTGTAATTGATAGCATTATTGTTATATTGTATGCTTGTTATTTGAGTTGGAGGCTACTTAATAGTTAAGGTTTTGTGCTTTTTGTTTAACAGTTAAAGATGGCAGTCATTCTGAGGAGATTGAGAAACTATCTGAAGAGGTTGCCAAACTGAACAGGACTGCACGTAAGTGCCCTATCATACTAAAAACTTCCATGCAAAAAAAAAAAGATATGAATACGAATATCTTTATTACTTGTTATACGTAGAATCAGTTTTATCACCATATCTTGTTTTTGTGGTATTCAAAGATTGTTACTCTTTCTAACAGTAACAGTCAGCACTCTTTCTGAAGAAATTGCGAAACTATCTGAAGAAGTTGCAAAACTGAACAGGACTGAACGTAAGTGTCGTATCATACTAAACACTACCATGCTGAAAGAAGGACATTGATACAAATAACTTCATTGCTTGTTATATGGAAAATCAATTTTTTAACAAGGTCTTGCTTTTGTAGTATTCAAAAGTTATTGCTCTTTCTAACAGTAACAGTCAGCAGTCGTTCTGAGGAAATTGCGAAGATATCTGGAGAGATTTCCCGACTGAAGGAGACTGCGGGTAAGTGTATAGCTTATCTTCAATAATTCCGTTATAACATTAACTGACATTAACTGTACGTCATTCAGCAGTGCAGGCGGACACAGTAAAGTAGCCTACTGTTTAGCATACGTTGTGTCCGGCACTTAAACTGTGTCATTTTGGTATTATTTCGAAGTGTTCTATTATGGACATCCTCCTTTTGTGATGGCAGCCAAGCACGGTGTTTCTAACTGCTTGTGAGAGAACGAGTAAACCTTAAGCACAGTTAAGGTTGTGATTAAATATTGTTTTCTTTACTACACATCTTGATGCTTATTAAAAAAATTAGGTTACTTATAATTTTAATCAACTAATCATCAGGTTTTGATATTCCACTATTTCCTTTTCTTCCTTTTTGTACTCACTCACTCACTTCACTCACTCACTCACTCACTCACTTCACTCACTCACTCACTCATTCACTTACTCGCTCATTTACTAAATCACTTGCTCATTCACTGTCACTCACTCACTCACTTACTCACTCACTCAATCACTGTCCCTGCCCCTGCTGTAATAATTTAAGAATCCTTTTTTTTCTAGTGTCTTGTCCTATAGGTTATTTCGCGTTGAAAGGAACCTGCTACAAGATCTTCAAGATACCGAAGACATTCAGCAAGGCGACTAGGATCTGTGGCCAAGATGGCGGCACCCTCGCCATGCCCCGAGACGCTGAGACAAACGACTTGCTGCTCAACTCTCACCAAACCCGTTCCATTAAATGGATCGGCCTGCATGATCAGCGTGAGGAAGGGGAGTTTGAGTGGGTGGATGGTTCTGCGCTTGGAAAGTACAAAATGTGGGGTTATGGACAACCAAATAACAGTACTGGAAATAATGAGGATTGTGTCGGTTTGAGGTGGGACAAATGGTATGACAAGCAATGCAGACTCCTTTTTCCCTTTATCTGCCAGGTTGCTCCAGGTAGTTTACACAAAATGACATTTCCATGAAGTTTAAAAGAAAATAGCATGATTTAATATCAATCAATCAATCATCCGCGGGCTTCAAGGTAGAAGCATGGCGGCCATAGACAGCTGTCTCCAGAGGCTTCTATTAGCAGCGAGGACTCTCCAGGATTTAATATCATCACCAAATTATCAACACTGTTTAATCAAGACTCTTTATAGACACTTCTTGTTTTATTTATGATCAGTTCCTTAATTTGCCACAGGACTCTGGATACTAGGATAACAGGACAGATGTAGAAAGCTGCATTAAAAGAAAACCAGGAAGTAAAACTTAAAAATGAAAATAAGAGCAAGATGTCTCCTTTGTATTATTTTTAACAAGGTCTATTCGTTTGTTTGTTAGTACGAACCAAGGTTTATGATTTTATTTAGTGCCGCTTGCAATGATAATACGAAAGCCTTCTGTGAATGTTGTCAAATACACCAAAAGTATTATGTATTATATCTAATCGTTACACTCATGGTTTAGAAAGAGGTACGTCCCACTGAATACATGGACACCTATTGCAATGAAAGCCGATATTACAATTTATCTATTGTCTGATTTAAGATACAGTTCAGGAAAAAATATGAGGGGAAAGTCTGCAGCTTTGGTGTGCAGGTATCAAGATCATATGTTTCTTATGTACTATATAATTGATATTAGTTTTATGAACGTTTTAGAAACAGACTAGGAACCATATCGACTAAAATATACAATGAGAAATACCTGTTAAGTTAGAGAAGTAGTAGTAACAGCCCGAGTATAAACAAATATTATTTGTCATCGCAGCAATAATTACATTGGAGAATATAATGTTTGTATACCAAATAAACTGATACTATCTGATATAATAGAAAAAAGTATTCGACTTACAAGTTACCATTTTGAGACGTAATGTCTAGTGCTGTCGTTTGTTTTCTTGCCAATTGTACAAAACGTAAACTTAAACAAATTTATATCATTATTGTTTAGAATCTTGCATATGAATATGAAATCAATTAAGTCCAAAATAACAAAGATGGAAATTCAAATTATTTTGAATATAGTTAATATCTTAATTCAGAAGTTGGAACCACGGTTTCGCTATCTAAGACTAGAGTAACATAAAATAAATTTGTAAACCATAATTTTTTTCTGCTAAATAGAACTGCAATTGCATCAAATACAATATTTGAATGTGGAAAAAGACTGTTTATAGAATGGAATAATCCTTAATTCTAAAGTACGGTCAAAGATAAACATACTGTAAACATACTGTAAACATACAAAAGCATTTTGTGATTCCTCAAAAAAGTATCTAGTCAGTTGTTGATTGCAGGCTATGGTTTTCTTGAATACGTTTCGGAAAAAGATGCATGTTATATCGCTTTGTTGAAATAAATAAAGATGAAACTAAAACTGTTCATTTCAGTAACATATTTTGTTTCCTGCATGTTTTTCTTTGTTGAAGCTCAATAGTAGAAAAGAAAGGAACAATAAGTTTTGATAAACATTGCGAATATTCACCACTTCGCCATCCTGCCGGTGACGTAATAAAAGAGACCAGAACATGAAAAATAAATAATGCAGGAACACATACAGACAAACAGACACTTAAAAAAACCTCGTTTCACAGAGTTCAATAGCAATAGAGTTAACTAAAGCCTTGTCCAAGAAATTGAATGGTAACTACACACGCCTGCTTCGGTGCGTGCTGAATGTTCCATAGCAGAGCCGCATGAGTAACAAAGAACTCTACAACGGTCTACCCCTGATTACCCAGACCATTCAGAGCAGACGACTGGCCCTTGCCGGTCATGTGGTACGCCACGAAGAGATGGCTGCCAAAGTGCTTCTCTGGCAACCGGATGTAAAAAGAAGGAGGGCAAGTCCGTGCCTAACGCTAAAGAAACTGATCGAGGAAGAGGTTGGACTACATGGATTGGCGACCCATGGATTTTCAAATGAAACAAGGCGACAAATCTGTTATATTTCACTATAATATACAGTCACACAGTATATTAATAGTATATTCATATGATAAGTTCAGTAAGATAATTCTTTCAATCAGTGACTATTAAATCCTAAGGTACATACCTCCGAATTTTCGACGACTAGTCAGTTCGTCTTGGTCACGGAATAATCCTAGTCTCGCAAGATAACGCGAGACTAGGACGAGACTTGCGTGGATCTTCTGCCCCCCTCTGCCTCCTTGCCAATTTGTTCATGGAAGAGTTTGAACGGAAAGCCCTGGACACAGCCCCACACCGCCCCAAGTTTTGGGGTAGGTACGTGGATGACACTGGGATAGTCAACCAGCAAGCACATGAGCAAGAACTCTTTGAACACATTAACCAACAACACGACAGTATTAAGTTTACGATGGAGAGAGAACAAGATGGTCGCCTCCCCATGTTAGATGTGATGTTGATTAAGAACCAGGACCGTACCATCACCACGGATGTCTACCGGAAGGAGACACACACAGACCACTACCTACAGTGGTCCTCCAACCACCCCGTCCAGCAGAAACTCGGCATTGTTAAAACCTTAATGCACAGGGCAGACACTCTCATTCAGGACCGCACCCTGAGAGAAGTAGAGAAAGGGAAAGTGAGGACGCACTCCGTCACTGCGGCTATCCAGACTGGGCCCTTAGAGAAGGTGACACCAGAAAAACACAGCAGAGGAACCACAAGGACACACAACGTGGAGACAGGGGACAAACACCCTCCAGCTTTGCTGTACTCCCTTACATTAAAGGGACTACAGAAAGACTGAAACGAGTGTTTGCCTAACACAACGTTAGCCTGTTTTCAAAACCAGGCTACACCCTACGGAATGCCCTGGTGAGCCCGAAAGACCCTTTAGATCCGAGTGAAAAGTGTGGTGTCATTTATAATTTTGTCTGCGAACACTGCGGTGAGACGTATGTGGGAGAAACAGAGAGATCGCTGGGGGAAAGGTCAGGTGAACATCAGAAGTCGATTGACCGTAAGGACTACAAGTCTGCACTTAGTCAACACCTGTTACAGACTGGACATAGGGTCACCACCCAACCTATACTAGACACGATCGAAATTATCGATCAGGAAGCCCGCAACGCACATCGGAAGATCAAGGAGGCCATACACATCCAACTAGTGGGAGCCAAGCTGAACCGCAACGAAGGCTGGGAGCTGCCTAAGCCCTACCTACCTCTACTCCGCAAGGAGGCAGAGGGGGGCAGAAGATCCACGCAAGTCTCGTCCTAGTCTCGCGTTATCTTGCGAGACTAGGATTATTCCGTGACCAAGACGAACTGACTAGTCGTCGAAAATTCGGAGGTATGTACCTTAGGATTTAATAGTCACTGATTGAAAGAATTATCTTACTGAACTTGTACTATACGTGACTGATGAATCTCTTCAACGATATTCATATGATAGTTTTTACTTTCACTGCATATATGATTTACTGTAAAATTATTTTGGCTTAAACAAAATATGATCTGCTTATCATATAACGATATTTTGCGAGGGCGTGTGTCACATGTATTGAACATGACTGTATTTCAAAGTTTTCGAAGTAAGCTACTTTTCTTTAATAAATGCATGCAATAAGTCTTAGCATGAAAAGAACGTGAAATGGCATTCTTATCAAAGCATGTATCAGTGATGCAATCTTTAGATTTTTACATGATTTGTCTCGACTGTTTAAAGTGTGACGTTTGTAGACAAATTTTGATATTTTTGCGTGATTTAATTTTTTGTTTTCTGTTAATCCATAGATTAATCCTTACGCATAAAAAAGAGAAATGGCTTTTTTTTTTCAAAGAATGTATCAGTGATGCAAGTCTTTAGGATTTTACATGATTTGTCTCGACTGTTTAAAGTATGACGTTTGTTGCCAATTTCGATATATTTGCGTGATTTAATGTTTTGTTTTCTGTTAATCCATGGAATAAGCTTTACTCATAAAAAAGAGAAATGACTTTTTTTCAAAGCATGTATCAATGATGCAAGTCTTTAGGATTTTACATGATTTGTCTCGACTGTTCAAGGTGAGACGTTTGTAGCCTATTCGATATTATGGCGTGATTTAATGTTTTGTTTTCTGTTAATCCATAGAATACGCCTTACGCATCAAAAAGGGAAAATGGCTTTTTTTAAGCATGTATCAGTGATGCAAGTCTTTAGGTTTTTATATGATTTGTTTCGACTGTTTAAAGTGTGACGTTTGTAGCCAATTTCGATATTATGGCGTGATTTAATGTTTTGTTTTCTGCTAATCCATAGAATAAGCCTTACGCATCAAAGAAAGAGAAATGGCTTTTTTCAAAGCATGTATCAGTAATGAAAGTCTTTAGGTTTTTATATGATTTGTCTCGACTTTTTGAAGTATTACGTTTGTAGCCAATTTCGATATTTTTGCGTGATTTGATGTTTTGTTTTCTGTTAATCTATAGATTAAGCTTTACGCATAAAAAAAGAGAAATGGCTTTTTTCAAAGATTGTATCAGTGATTCAAGTCTTTAGATTTTTACATGATTTGTCTGGACTGTTCAAGATGAGACGTTTGTATCCTCTTTGACAACATGGCGTGGTTTAATCTTTTGTTTCCTGTTTCTGTTTTGCCTTCGGGTGTAGACTCAGACGTACATCGAGGAGAGTTCTGCCTGGTGTAGGACGTCTTTTTTGCTGTCCAGAAACCCGGAAAGTGGCATCATGCCGGGAGGACAACAGCAATCCCAGACTTCTGGCACTGGAGGTAAAGTTTTGTTCTTTTTTTTTGTTGTTGTTCTATTTTTTTTTTAAATAAAAATTAAAGAAGACTTGCTACAGAATTTTTCTTAACCCGGAGTGGGGTCGTCTGGCGTAGCGGCAGAGTGCTCGGCTCGGAGCCAAGAGGTCTTGGGTTAGAGTCCTGACATGCCACTGATCTTGTGCCCTTGGGAAAGGCACTTTACACGCCTTTCCTCACTTAATTTAAGTGAGAATGAGTATTGCTCTGTCCTGTATTTGTCCTCTGTGTTGGTGGCGGCAAATATGGCGACATAAAATAAGTTGACGTACATGTAACTTGAGTGTGCCGTCACCATGTCTAGTAATAGAATGGAAATAGAATATAGGGGGGGGGGGCATCTGTAGGCACATCCACTGTAAATCAAAAGCTATCTAATAGTATCTAGCTGTGTATTGTATAAATGCCAACGTTTGAGAGGACAATGTACTAAAATAGACTACCTTTCGATTTCATAATGACACAGCTACAGATTACGGGATTATAATGAATCTTATTGCTGTATCTTTTATAGGTGCCACGCCCATACAGCCTCAGAGTGATTGGAGGCCAGGTGCACATCTAGTGGCTAATGTTCCCAACCCCATGTACATCACCAGAGCAAGAGGTACGAAAATTCTATAATAGCTTGACTACTTCCTTATGATCCCTTTTATTCCATTAGTTATGAAACAAAAAAGACACACCCCATGAAATTTGAGTATTTTTTCTCATTGATTATGGAAAAAAGGTATAAAACTATATTTTTGCCACATATTATATATGCCTGCACTGTCTGGGACACAGCGCCCGAACGTGAGTTGGGGAAATTGCAAAGGTTGCAGAACCGAGCTGGCAAGCTGATTCTACGAGCCCCGTATCTAACTCCATCAGCCGAAGTCCACCGACGTCTGGGCTGGATGGACGTAAAGTCAATCCACAAACATCACAAAGCCCTCCTACTACATAAGGCCCTGAACAACCAACTACCGCCGTACATGCGCCGGATTTTCACATACTGTAGGGATAGAGCGACCAGAAGCACCAGACAAAGCGCGACTGATCTCCTTGCGGTACCGATGCCATTAAGAGAAATATA